CTCGATACTGATATAGTTTTAAGTCTGTACCTACTAACATTTGATTGGATCTCAGTTGTCTCAATAAATAAATTTTATTATTATTATTTGTTCTTCCCGCAGCTCGCTATCCTGGCCCAGCACAATGCGCGTGTTCTTCGATAGCGTGAGCCCTCTGTTGGTCCAAGACATGGTCATCTCCTTCGGCGAGACCGGAGACGGCTTCTACACCAAACACAACTACACTGGTTGGTCAGTAGATCCATTTTGTTTTTTAAGTTTCGTGATAGTGTCTTGAAAAGCTAATGTTTTAACGTTGTTCATGTTCATTAATATTATACAGTGTTTTTTTTAATGGACAGTCTATGGGTCAATCAGTAACAGTCTTAGGAACCATTAAGTCTTCTCTTATAAAAACAATTTTGGCATAGTCGATTTTTTTATCAATGGTGAGTTGTCCATAAAAATTAATAAAACTGATCAAACTTGTTTTTAGTGCTGATCGACTCAGTTTCATGTAAGCATCATTTTATTGTAAGTGACGAAAAAAATCGGGAAGTCCGTCTAATGTAATAAAATTACTTTTTTTAAATTATGGTAAACTCACATTTGACCTTAAAGTTGACTATGTCTGTTTGCACAAAAAAGATCTAATCGTTCCTAAGGAAGTTTCTGTGTATCTCCTACGGTTTCGGATTTCCCCATACTGTCCCAGTTAAAAAAACACACTGTATTTAGATGATTAGTTCAAGTAACAGATTTGTGTTTACCTACAGGTCGTACACGATAGGGTACGGCTCTCCCCCGGTGGAAGGATTCTCGCTGTTCGTGATCCTCATAATCGCTATCGGGCTGTCGGTACCGGTGGTGCTGGCGCTGTCCGGCGTCGTCTTCGTACTGCTGCGGAGGATGACGCAAAGGAACACTCCGGCCAGGTTTGTCGACGACGACTGATGAGAATGATCTCAGGGTAACTTCTAGACTTGGGTATAGCAGATGTTGCTGTAGGCGACACGTGATTTTTTTTACCTTTATTCTGGCTCCTCGCACATTCCATTGCATTAAACTTAAGTTTACTGACCAGTGCTTGCAATGCGAAATACCCTTCTGATACATTGTGTTAGGACTGTCTTATCCATTAGAGCATTGATTTTAGTATTAGACAGAAGGAAATGTTGGGTCTTTTATCAGGAGCCCGATTCAGAACTCTTCGATGTTGTAACCGAATCGTTCAATTAGATATCGTTCTTGAATCGAAGGACGCTTTCCGAGCTACTCAGAACATTCGGATTCGGATACGATATCGTTATCCAACAGCGCTTACGGAGTTGATCAGTGAATAAAGATTATAAGAAAAATTAAAAACGTTTTATATACTTTCGTAAGACTTTAAAGGCCCAAAAATATCGGAATGCATTTGTCTTGCATTAAAATAATTTAATAAAATTGAACAAAATCCAGACCTTATTTAAAAGAATAAGATATTTCCATATTACATTCTTGCTTTGTGAATAATAGGACGTTCGGTAACTGTCACGTTTGCAGCCTTTGCCGGTCGAGAAGTTCGAGTAATCGTACGGGTGTGACGTCATTTCGGTTCGGTTTCGAATACGACAGTTCGACGTTCGATTCGGGTGTATGTTGACTACTGTGTTATCGTAACTTTCTGAATCGACCCCAGGCTACATTTTATTCAGACATTTTGCAAGTAATAAATACCGTGAACCAAAATTCTTAAACATATTTACTACCTTTATGTAATTATTACGTTTTTTTTATTAGTAGTTCTTACTATAAAAATTTTTTTATTTACATTCTCTATCTATTCAAAGAGTTGCAATATTAAAAACAGCTTCCAAACATTAAACGTAGTGTCCGTTTAGTATTTTATTATATAATCAACTTTACTGTAATTTGTTGACTGAAGAAATGGGTTTACGATCGCTGCTTCTTTGTTTACGTTTTTTGTAATCCTAAAAACAATAATAGTATTTATTTATTTTCACTCACAAATGCGGCTTAACAGCAAAATCTATGGGACAATACGAACTATAAGTTTAGTGCAAGTGGACATGGAGTCTCGCCTTGAAAATTACTGCTATAGCACAAAATATGAATTTAGGAGAGAAAGGAAATAACAAAATCGCAAAAGCAACCTCTGCTGTATTTATTTGAAGTTTATCCTTAGTTATTAGCTGATATAGAATGAATGCATTATGATAAATTAAGAACAGGCCCGTAGGGTTACCTGATTTGGTCTGAAACAATGTTAACATACACACTATATTATAGAAATGGATGGACAACCCTGGTGAATAAAAAACAGTATTTTTTAACATTCATTGACTTTTATATTTACGTTATTCTACAAAGGAATTGAAATCTTTTCAAAAAATTTAAAAGTGCTGTGAAATATTCAATCTTATTCGCTGGGGTTGTTGCAAACACTTTTGCGGTCTACGATATACATATGAGGTAACTAAGATGGACATTGTTAAATGTAACTACATACCTTCGTGTTGCGTTTTTTATTTACACTATACACATGTGCGTGGAGAGATCGTAGTACAGTCAACATGAAAAACTATGTAAGCGTTTTAACTAAGCTAAATATCGTAACATTATTTAAATAATCAACCTTTGGCTTTAAGATGTACTTTTGTTTGAATTTGGTCGATAAGATGGTTACTCACATGTGCAGGTATTTTGTTCAGTATGAACGCATATGCTGCGCTCGCGCCACTCACGTTGAAAACTCGACACGAAGCAGCTTACTTTCAAGGTCCGTTACGATGACTAATAAACAGTAATTGTAACTTTTTTATTTAAATAAAAACCGACCTCAAATCATCGGGGAATTACATCTATTTGCCAAGTTTTATTGAAATCCGTTACCGGAAAGTGCGCGAAACCGGATTCATCCCCTAGTTTGCCACCCTTAGAGGTGGAATATTTTCTTCAAATTTAAATGGGATCAATACTGAGGTACCCTCTCACCAACAAAAAAAAGCATCAAAATCGGTTCATAAATGTTATCGCGTAACATACATTAAAAAAAATACAGTCGAATAGAACCTCCTCGTTCTTTTTGAAGTCGGTTAAAAAATAGCAAATTTGACTTTGAAAGAAAGAAGGGAAAATAATTTATTTGATAACAAACTAAAAATGACATAATAAAACACAAATTAAATTAACCAAAAGACTTGACGTAAAACAGACACGATTACATATAACATGTTACCAAAATGGTCACCACTCAGCTTTTAATAACGAGACTACAAACTGACGCTTATCCCGCGCGATAATTGACCAATTTATCCTTTTGGAATTACGCAAATAAGCGAATAATCGACCATCTTCCTTGTTGTTAGAAAATCTAGCGCGGTATTAGCGTGTGTTTGTAGACATTTGAAGCTTTGAGTACTTGTAATAGTTACTGGGAACGCATAAATAAGTACTAAGTAGACAAAACGTTATATAACGTATACAAATAGTAAAGGATTTTTAGAAATAAAGGATTTTTGTATTTTTGACTTCAAAATTGCAAGTTACCTCGGTTCGTGATAAACGATGGGACGTAAAACACACGTTTAGTATGGACACAGTGCTAAAGAGTGCTTAAAATTATGCCATTCATAACGACCAGACATAACTAATAATTTTGATAGACAAGGTTATTTACATGGTTCGATTATCGCTTTCGTGTTATACGTTGCGAGGTCAATAATTCATTTAAGTCAAAATTAAGTTGGGACCATTAATGTTGTAAGCAGGGTTTCAAGTGATAATTATCATCGATAACAATCATGATAATTATCACGGTAATTATCTTGATGAATATGTCTTGATAATAATTTTTATATTTATGAAATTCATTGGAACAACAGAATGTTATCGCTAGTTAGAATACAAACACGTGACACGACATTCGTGACACGTGTTTGTATCCCGATATGTATCCAAATGGTTTCCGTTTTGCGTTTTCTCACCGTTTGTCATTTTAGTCATAATTTAAGACACAAAACTATGGATCATCAAGGATAATTTTCGGATATGTATCGGATATTTTTTTATTAGACAATATCACATATGTAGCTCTGATCCCAAAGCAAGTAAAAAACTTGGGATCAGCAAAAGCAACGTATGTCTAATATAAACACAATAATATAAGTATCAATGAAGATAATTATCATGACATATAATTATCAAACTAAATATGTATCTTGATAATTTTGAACCCTACTAAGAAGGTACGAAATGAGGTCCAACCATCATCTATCAAGCAAAGTCCTATGAAATTACGAAATTGATAATTAAGAAAACTATCTATTTAAAAACGAAGACACACAAACCTGTAAGTAGATTTTTATATGAGAAGCGATTCAAAGTTCCTGTCCTAATTAGATAAACAGATGTACATATAATAATAAGACAACATAATTATAATAATACATAATATGTAGGTGTATTTCGCAAAGTGCCTAGTTAACAGAGAATATTCAATAGATTAATAGATAAGTATAGGGTATTATTGAAAAGGATAGACAGGTCCAATCGACAAATTATCATGAATTACAGACTTCTTACCATAATATGACAGTGTGTTGGAGATGAACGTAGACGTTTACCTGTGACCATATAACGTTTAACCCCTCTGAAATATCGGCTTTAGAAAGAAAAGACATACGTGGTAAGAAAAACTAGGAAAGTTAAGTTTAATAAAACACCACGAAAGCCCTGATAGCCCGGTCACTCAATAAGTGTGCAGACGCAGGCGGTGAGCAACTAACCTCGTTTGCTTCATTCTTAGTTCTGTGGTTTCAACGTCCCATGTGGCACGTCGCTACTATTTATATGTAGAACAACTAATAAAATAATCTAAATAGAGCTCCTTGTGAAAGAGTTCGTCTATTGCCACTTTCCCAATTTCTGCCGCCAAGCAGTAATGCGAGCATTACTACGTTCCGGTTTTGAAGGGTAAGGGTGCTGGTGAAATTACAGGTACATGAGACTAACAACCTATGACTCAGGGTGAAGCGGCCCTGCAACTGTTACGGACAGGCGTGTCACTTACCATCAGGCGCACTTGTTCGTCCCGTCACATATAAAAAAAACGCAGCGCTATTACATATAACGCATCGCATCGTCTGGCATCGCTCTGTAATTGACTTTGTTGTACAGTTGATGCCCTAAGACACCCGACATCCAAGCCGACCTTTTGGTTCTGGGTAGATAAGTGTTAAACAAACTTAACCTTGGGTGTCAACTTAAACTAGACGCTGCCTTAATTTGTTAATTGGACAATCACGAGACAACCCACGCGTATGTCCCGTTTCACGCGGCGGGCGTCTTTAGTATTTCTTAATTTATGAATTTATTTTTTTATGTCCTAGTGTTCAATTTACATTGCCTCGGAACGGAATGAAAGTAAATGTCTGTAATCATACAGGCGGATTTGCAGTCTGTCTTGGCCGCCCTAGGCCCCAGAATATACAGTCAGTACCAGCCGCCCCTTTATCAGCACTTATCATATACTGGTAGACTACAGAATGAATTTGCTTCATTGCCAACTTTTATCGAAATCGATTCATAAATTTATTTAAGTATAATAGCTGCTAGCGGCCCGCCATAATGTGCGTGAGCCTTTAGAATATTTAGTTACTTTGGATTATTTCTTGTTACCATGAGTGAATTTCTTGTCACGATTGGTCGCCCCTAAAATCTGGCCGCCCTAGGACCGGGCGTACTGGGACTTAGGGCAAATCTGCCACTGCATACAGGGAATTCCTGCAGCTTCCTCATCGCATCCAGTTTATACGTTACACAATTGGCATAAGGTTCATTGTGCTATGTACAGTCGTTACAAAAATTCCTTGCCGTTACGAGACAATGTAAATTGAGCCTAAGCAACTTAATGAATAACTATTTTTCTGACTTACATTTGATATTATGAATTGTTATGTCCAAAATCATGACATGTTTACTCTTTGTATGACTTGTAATAGTTTATATTCAACTAGTTATGAAACTTACAAAAAATAACCCTATTTATAAGGATCGTTGAAAGTTAAAAATGTTTAAAAGACACTTAGGGTCGTACTCCAGAACTCTACTCAATGCTCAAGTCAGGGTTTGAGCAAACTTGAGTATGATTTCAAGCACTGGAAATACGACCCTAATGGCAAGGACTTGAGTATGATTTCTAGTGCTTTGAATCATACTCAAGTCCTGACTTGAGCATTGAGTAGAGTTCTAGAATACGACCCTTAGATCAGAAGTAAATTTTGTGAAAACATTAATTGGATGAATCCTAATAACCATTTAATTTGTAAAATTAATTTAGTAGAAATTGCATGTCGTCATATTTTGCAAATCGTACGTAGATTGGAATGTTTTCCGGTAAATTAAAAATAAGAAAAGAGTTCAGAACAAGAGTGGTTTGCATTTATTATTAAACATAACTGACTCTTGACTAATACCAACTGAGTCAGCTGTGACCATGGGACCTGTAAAGACCACGAAGCGTTGGTTTATTTCAACAATACACATATAGGCGCTATGGATCTGAAAAATAGTTATTTCCAATAAATAGCAATCACGAAAAACTAGGAACTCGAGATATAGACAGATTCAGTCAGCATTTTCACAAAAATACTTAGTAAAGATTAAACATCTAATATTATTCATACATTTTAGTATCTTTAGTTGTCATAATATAATATGCCTGTGTTGACAGCTAAGAAAGACGCAACGTCGAATAAAATCAACGAAATTTATTGCGTTTTTTAAATAACATTATTTGTATTTGCGCATTATATAATATGATAGAAAACATAATAATCTAAACAATTGCAAACTCTTAAAATGTTACATCGGTTTCTAATGAGAATCGAGTAATGTGATTAACGATTTGTTTGATTCACATCCCTAGTTACTTTGCGATGACATGTGTCAAAATGGGCCTATTAAACTATGACAACTATAGGCTCAGCTCTTACTTTTCAACATTCGATATCGATGAAAGTGCTGCGAACTTTATATATTATTTAATGAAAATGTATATTAATTGTCACATTCTCGATTCATATTCCACTATTGTATTAATTTAATGTTTGTCATGATCAAAGATCGGGACAGGCAGAGTATAAATAAAAAGTAACGAAAAATCAAAACAATAAGTTATATTTATAGAACTTTTCTTGTAAATTCATGAGAAATATGAACAAAATACAATATAAAAATTCCACAATCTCGTATGGGGTGTTATCCTCTCTGTATAATTACTTTCTTGACGTTTGAGTAAATATACTTTGCCTATTCGGTTCTCTGCTTATAATGTATAATTAGTTTACTATGCAATATTTTTAATAAATTACTGGCTTATTAATTAGTTAATAGAAGTTAGAAAATGTATGGAATTGGATGAGTATTTTATTTACTTTCAAAGAACCTTAAATACTTCTGTACATTCTCGGCAAACATGCTCAATGTTCGATCACTGTCGCTTTCCTTTAAAAAATTGGAAATTAAATTATTTTTTCGGATCTACATCAGTTAGCCGTGACCATGGGACTTGTAAAGAACCCGAAACGTTGGTTTGTTTGAAAAAATAAATTGCTATTTAGATCCGGAAAAAACTGTAACAATCGCGATACCTAAGAGCTATTTTACACTAAGCCGTTAGTCGCGGGCGACTTGCGCGCGATTCCTATTTGGTCAAATAAGTCATATAACATAACCGACCGCGACTCCGATGTTTTTAGTAGCAGAGCTTCCTTGTGAAGTACTGCCACCTTACATATTTCTGCCGCCGAACAGTAATGTGAGCATTACTGCGTTCCGGTTTCGAAAGTTAAGTGTGCTGGTGAAATTACAAGCACATGGGACTTGTCAACTTATGTCTCAGAGTGACGAAGAGCAATGAC